GACTGACGGGGGTAGGGGCTTTTCTGATGCATGTATAGGCAGTCACTTCATGTGCCTTCTGCAGCTGGTTGTCCTATATTCAGATCAAGGGTTCTTTTTGCAGGGCGGGAGGCGGGGTTGATGAATTTTTGAACGGGGTTTTTTTAGGGGGTGGGATGGGTGATGGGATGTGTTTGCGCCCTAGTGATGGTAAGAAGGGAATCGTTCACTTGAGATTCGGGTTTTTGGAGGTTTATTGTGGTTTTAGGCTCTGATCTACCTTGCTTGGCTATGTCGGGCGCTGTAAAGGTTTTCTTAGTAGCGAAAATATCGAAAATTGTTCAAAATCATGAAAAAATTATGCTCCTGTCAGAAACTTACTGAATAAACGGCATGGTTAAAAATCCAAAAATATTTGTTGCTTGGATAGGATTTATTTTTTTATGATTAATAGGCTTTCTGGCAATATTATCAGCTAATCTCAATTTTTGAAACCACCAAATGACTAGAAATTTACAACAAAATATTGAAAAACTTCTAAAAATATTATTTTTTTCTGGACCTTCATCCCGATTTGAATATGCAGATTCAGTTTCCCATTTAAAAGGAGATATCTCTGGAAAAGTTCTCTAGCTCTTTGACCTTTTTTGAAACAAAGACGCCCTGTGAAAGGGGGGCGGCAGTTCCTGGACTGAGCGGATGGCCTCGTGGCCCCCGTGGGCCCGTTCCTCCTCTTCGGCTTCTGAAGCGGAAATGTCGCCTGTTTGGATGATAAAGGGCCGAAGGGACATCCCCACACAACTGCGTGTACCCCATATCTGATTGGCGGGAGAACGCGGCTCTTCTCACAGCGTCTGTTCGTTTAATTTCTTTTTGTGAAGATGCTTTGTGGTTGTGTTTCAGGGGCTAGGAAGTTTATTCGGAAGAGATTTTCATTTTTTTAGCAATTTTTAAGCTTTGAATAATTCAATGGATAAAACCAAGACGATATTTAGCTAACCTTTTCATTGATCGCTCATCTCTAATTTGCTATTCTGATTATGCGATACGGTGGTGCAAATCAAGGCTTCCGCTCTTTTCAGTTATTTTTGCGCACTTTGCATAGCTTAAGTGAATGCTAAAATATGAATTAAATAAATGAAAACTATACGTGAGGTTTATATTCATGTTTTCCACTAATAATCCAATCCTACTCTTCTGATTGTTGTATGCGTATTTAAAGAATGGTTTACCGCTTTTCACCTATTTTCAAACACGTTTAATGGATCAGAATAACAGTTTCAAATCCCAACTATACCCATGTTTTCAACTGATCGACCACCTCCCGCCGACCCACTTCTAATTTGCTCGATCCCCCCCGTTGGCGGTTCGCGGCGGGACCAAAAATCTGTGGACTCTCGGCTTCCGTCAGGCTCAGTTTCTGAGAGGGGCGGCCCAATTTTACTTGCACGGCAACCCTTTTGTTTTATTCGATCTCCGATGCCTCTAGGTGGGGAGAAAGAGTGGCGTAGTGTTGGGGAGCAGTTGAAAATGTGAGTATTTGGCAGGGAGTTTTGAACTGAGCAACAACTTTAGCATTCAGATACGTATTTATGGGTATTTCATGTTCTTGGAGTTTCCGAAGCTTTTTTCGACATGCTACTGTATTTTGGGTTTAGATATATAGTTTTTTTTTGCTATATTCTCTTTACCGTTTATATTGTGAGAATAAGCTCCAAAATACAGTACGCACGCACTAGGAAGACGTGGCCATCTTCCCACATGACCTTTGCCTTTTTCTTTTTTTCCCAAACTCATCATCGTCATTTCTCCCCCTCAACCTCCCATTTTTTTTCTTCCAGATTACGTGGCCCTCGTGGCGACAGGCGAATTCACCGGGTAAAGCATTTATGCAAAACTTGTCCTTCCTCAGCTCCTCCTCCCCATCTCCACTCTGCCTTCCTCCCCGTTCGAGGAAGCAGATTCCCCTCCCTTCAAGGCATCCATATCTATGCATTCCTTATCCGTGCACCCTATATGACCTCAGATGTTATTTTTTGCTTTCTCGCGCGCTCTCTCTCTCTCTCTCTCTCTGTCTCTCTCCCCTCCACCCTCTCCCGCCCTCAAGGTTTTGGTGGCATGGCCGTCGCGAAAAAATATTCAGTTTCAAAGACGAAGCTCCCGCCACTGGCTACATGATGCTCACCTAGGGGCTCTCGATTAAAATATCGGGTTACCCTGCCCTCGACCAAAAGCGGAATCGAGGCATTGCGCCCCGGAACCGTGGGGCCCTGGTGTCATTTGGGAGAGATGTGTTCGAAGCCAACAAATTGGGACGGCCGGCGGCGAATTTGGAAAATGGAAAATCGGCAAATCTCGGTCGGCGGGATGGGATTGTGTTTTGGGGTTGCCGGTAGATGGGCGGTTCTGGTGTATTCTATACCAAAAACCAGCAGCGCTTAGTTTCCTATATTCATTATACGAACAATACTTTTTCAGCCTTCATGGGCATTAAAAAATTTTTGCTGGTTTAACGATTTTTTTATGCATTTCCTAGACCTGATTGGCGCGGCAGATCCGTCAACACAGCTCGATTTTACCCAACCATACACGATTTTTCGAAAATCAATGGATTTCTTGCCCTCCCCCCACTTTAAGGAAGGTCTAGGGTATCACAGCTGTCAAAATTTGCTCCCGAAAGCGCTCGTTTTAGGGTTGGAGAGGCGATGATTGTTTTGCACGTGAAGAAGGGTTAGGTCGGGGTGTTGGAGCATTACTCCAGAGCCGCCCCAACTGCAATTTCGCCTCTAAACAACCAGGAAGGGTGAATGGGCTCTGATAGGCGGCTGGATACCAAGGGGTAAACGTTCAAACTAGCCCTAGATTCTATTTTTTGAATGGGGTATTGGGGCTAGGTTTGTACTTTAGTGATGATGTGGTTTGTACTTTAGTGATATAGTGTTTCATATGATCGGCTTTTTTCAAAACTGTGAAAATCTGAAAAAAGTGTCTAGATTCTTTGATTTATGTTGGATATGAGGAGGTCGAAGCACCTTGTTAACATGCTTACATTTTAAAAAAGATTAGGAAAAATTAAGGCACCTGAAATTTGCATAAAAATCACCTTAAAAATTTTAAACTACATAGATATTCTGGAAGCTAATTCCCATAAAACACAACCAATTATTCTCACAATCCACGCCCTCAATGTCTCTGCACTTGCCGTGCCGAGCCCCCGCCTCAAAATCCCTTTCATGGCCCTTTTGAAATTCTAAATTGTGTTAGTCGAGCCGAGCCTAGACACTCAGCTGTCCAAAAATACGCGCTTACACGTCCGGTTTGCGTTTCCGCCCCCTAAAATGCCGGCAACTGACTAATTACCAATCAATCAGTTTTCTTTTCGTTTATTTTTAGTAGACTTATTTTTAGTAGCCTGTGCACAACTCTAAAAAGTGTTGTCCCTCAGAGAAGTCTAGAAAAATGAGGGACAGGGACTAAAAACAGAGCATGATACTTTACTACCCCAAGAGGGCGCATGGCTGTTATATCATTTTGATTCCCGGCGAATGGGAATGGAATTTTTGCCGTTAGTCTCGTCGACCGAGGATTGAAAAGCGGGTGTCTTTCCACGTGGTCCAGTTTGGTTCACCGCGAATGTAATTCCTTAGTTTGGAGGGGGTAAATCAGACCTTAGGGGAGAGGGAGGTATGGCTTTTCTTTTTGTCTTTGAGAGCCCAAGCACGAGGTAATCGAATCGTCTTCTTCCGAAATTCGTTTCACTGTTCCAAAGGAGGTCTCCCAATGGGGGGCTAGGCACTGCTCTACCACATCGGCTGGTCTACAACACTTGGATGTTGTTGTTTTTATTGAGCGGCTTTTAAAGCGTTTTTATTCAGCATTCACAATATTATTATTTACTGGATACCTGCCAAAAACTGAGCGTTTGCTAATGAAGATCCATTCTTAGGTGCTTTCAGGCTTCACGATGCAACTGATGCGATGGAGCATGAAGTTCTGAAAAAACCCGGTTTCGAAAGTTTTCGGTTGACTACGGTGTTGGAGAAAATTTAAGCTGAAAGGCTCGATTTTGTCTATTTTTGGACCTCGCTTAAGAATATAGACGTGAAGAAACTTTTGCATGAAGCCTGTCGTTTTTAAAAGTTGCCAGGGTTGAAAAGCCGCTTCGCGACATTTCAACCCTGGCCTTGTTTTGTCTAACGCTATGCTTCACTTTGCATCACCGTGCTGAAATAAGATGACGAAAAAATGAAAAACCACCCATTCTGCCCCTTTATATAGACGATCCCCCACTTCCGGTCTATGCTAATTATTTTCTAACAAAGAGTGTTGTACAAAAGCTTAAATTTAATATCGTAAGTGGGTAATGTTTAAAAATCGGATATGTGTGCAGTCATGGCAAGGCCATTACGCACCTAATGACATGTCGCACACAGGCCTAATGTCTTCCACTATGGAGATACTACTGAAACAACGGTACGGAAGTGGATGCAAAGTGGCACAGACACACATACACTACTTTTTTACATATAGTAGGATTAAAAGTTTGTTCAGGATTTTAAGCATTTCCGAATGAACTAGTTCCGCAAAATCGTAAAAACCTAAGCGAAAACGTTAATCGAACGCAACTCCAAATTTTCGCATTTTCATTGATACTTTCAAATGCTCGCAACATCACCGAAACCCCACCGGCCCATCTCAAATATTCCATCACACTAACCCTTAAAAATTCCCGCCGAATCGCAAATATACCTCCCCGTGTGGCCGATCCACCACCCAGCCCCTCCCTAATCCCATTTCAACTTGATATTAATGTTTCCTCCCCGCCCAGAGCATCCCGGCCGATTCTCCCTGGTGAATTTCGGCCACAACCACTAAATAATGTATAGCATTTTCAGAGGGGTCCAGATTCATCCTGTTTCTGTTTTCCAAAAAATGTTTTCTGATACTTCCGGAATGTGATTGACCGTGGGATTTAGTGATTTTCAGGGAGAAAATGCGACTGATGAGGTGACGCGACGAAGATGTTTTTGTTTATCGTGCTCGCGACCGCGGCCCGGGCAGCCGATATGGATTTTCAGCCGCTTACAAAGGTTAGAAAGAATACACCCTTTAATATTAATAATTTCAGGATTTCATCAAACAAATCGACAGCGAAAAATACAATAAATATGCGACACCAACCCAATATGACGGTGGGTTTTCTAGGGTATTGTGATGGAATTTGATTCCCTTTCGCTGGCTATCCTTCTCCTATCAAAAACTATCACTAACAAGCCATACGATCAGCATCCTTTCTTATCTAACCATCATTTCAGAATATCTGAGAGAGTTTGGGAAAGGTGAGACACATCTTCTATCAGATATGTTGCGGTCGGAAGTTAAAATTTGGCGTTTTTGGATTGTTTTTCAACTTGCTCGTTTCCTTGACCGCATCATTTGGCCTCACGTCGGGAGTGGATGCTTGTATTGAACACACTTTCTTCAGTTTTCTCATTAAGGTCATGGGCCTGACCCAACGATTTGTTTACCGTGAACTAAACAAATGGAAATGCAAACTGCTTGAAGGGTTATATACCTTGGCTTCTTCTCATTCACCTCTTGCTCCCGGAATCGCGCAAAAATTAATTTGCATGAGCTGCTGGAAATGTTGGATTTTAGGAATCGCTACGAATGTGACGATGTACATGTACATCGAAGGTATTTCGTCGTTCAGCGCCCAGACGATGGACTATCATTTGGATATGTATTTTCAGCAGGTTTTAACGTTTCGATAATTTGCATACCCGAAAAATAGGAATGGTGGGATCGACGTTTGGCGCATAATGGGTCGTCTCCAATTTTAGTGAAGGATAAGGAGGTATGAATAATTAATTAATAACTTACGCGTTGGGAGTTGTGGTCAAAAACAAAAAATCCTCCGAACAACTGAATGAATTCCGCTTTGATACTACAGACTAGTTGGTTTTACATAACCTTCTAGGTCTTCAAACGCATGTGGCACCCAGACCTTTATTTTGCCAATGCCCGCTCGGCGTCTTTTCAAGAAATCACGGAAGACAATTTTTTGGTGTGGGTATATCCGGATGGGAAGGTTTGGTATGATTGTCGGTTAGTTATATATTTGAAACCCTAAAATTATCTATCAGGATTTCCCTCTGCGTAATTTGCGTGCAGAATCTGGCAAACTACCCCCTGGATCGGCAAACGTGTGAGCTACGGATATTGAGCTGTAAGTTCCTTCAAGCTCTTCTAAAAAAACTTTAAATTGTTTATAGATGCGTACCCGGAGTCACAGCTGCGGTTACGATGGGCTGAATTAAATGGCGTGTCGGCGATCGATCGAAATGAGGAGATTCGGATGCCGGATATGGCCATTCAGAGCATCAAAACTGGCGCTTGCAACGGGACATATGCTACGGGTTAGTACTAATGACATATTTTTAACACACGATTTCTTTGTAACTAAATTTTGATTTATTTGGTATTCACTAAATTAAGTATCTTTTTTAGGTACTTGGAGTTGCATGACGGCCGTTTTTGACGTGGAGCGCGAGCGTATGCACCACATCATGCAAACTTACCTCCCAACGGCCTTAATAGTTGTCATATCATGGTAATTGTCGCTTAATATTTTAATTTTAGTGAATTACAGCCTCCGCTAAGCATCTATAATGATTTTAGGTTCAACTTCTGGCTGGACGTCGACTCAGCGCCGGCTCGTGTCTCGTTGAGCATCACCACGCTTCTTACCATATCTACGCAAGCCAATGCTGTAAAGTTGGCTTTGCCTGAAGGTATCGTTGTTAAAGTGTGTTCACTGGAGATTTTTAGTGTCTTACATGAAAGCCATCGATGTGTGGATGGGTTCTTGTATGGTAAGGTGTATCGAAAAATAAAAATCTGTTTTTAGGCATTCGTCTTTGGTGTGATGATTGAGTTTACGATTTGTCACTTCGCAAAGAATCAGGTAGGTAGATTAAAATTGTATTTTTGATGACCTACATGTTTGCACGGAAAAAAGGGGAAGCCATTTGGCTGTAACAACCTTAATAACTTCCGCCTAGGAATTGACGAGGGGCGAGACGCAACCATCGCTGATCGTGGATACAGCTCTCTCAACGCTTTTCGGCGCTGCGAGGGACATTGACGACTTGGTGAGAAGGGTTGCTGCGACGCCACCACCGGGTTCACCACGCACTGTTCCATGTCGACAGCCATATCCGCCTCAACAACCTCCACCACCATCTCCGCGGATGCTAACCCCGCTTCGTCTTGCCACTTTTGATGAGGACGACGACCCTCGGCTCGCACGCTCTGTCAGTGCTTAGTTTTCGCTAAGCTTAAAAGAAGTGGTTTTTAGGTGATACTGGAGTTTATCGATTTGATCCCTTTCATTCGTAGGAGCTTAAATTCCTGCGCATGGTCCTTGTTGATCATTACTGAACGATCAAAAATTATTAAGGCCTTTTTTGTGCATTCTGGCCCCTCATAACAAATAGTAAACGCTATATAATACTAGCGTTCAACAATTTTGACAACTAAAACCTGCTAAGAATTTCGAACTCTAGCAAATGAACGATGCCACATCGCTAAACACCGATATCACCTAAAAACGTCTTGTTATTAATTCAGGGCTGGGCGTTAAGATGGAAAATCGGGAGAGAATATCGATTATATATTGCATTATCAAAGATCATACAAAATCTCGTTAATATTCAGGAGAGCACAGTTAGTGGTAGCTATTTTGGTTAATCACCGCATCTTCAAATCTTTCACAAAAATTCATTTTTAAACAATTAGGGCCACTATAGCTCGAGATTAGCTTCAGCAGAAGCAGCTGTAGCTGTAAGTCACGCGAATGTGCAAAATTATAAAATTCACTGTGCACTCATCTTCAAATTATCAGGCAAAACGCTGAATCGTCCCATAAACGATGAACCAAAAAATGACCATAAATTCATCGAGTTCCCACGCGTGCAAACCCATTAGTATCCCGGCCCGGTTTATTCTACTAAATCCTTCTATCCTATTTTCATTTTGCAACATCCCAAATTCAAACTTTCGACTTTTTTTTCTATTCCAAATAACCTCCCGATTTTTCATTATAACCAGCCACCCACAAGGTATGAAGTGTATCTAGCCGGCCTCGACGGCGTTTAGCTAGAAGATCCTGCGAATCCTGTACTCCGACGTATATAAATGCGATGGCACTGTTGGTAGATATTTTAGTTCCGTTTCACCTCTTCACAATACGTTTTGCACTACGCACTAACACTTTGCGTTCACACTGTATGCACCAGTAGTTTTTTTGCTGCACCGAGTTGTCGTTTTTGAGGAATTTCTTGGGCTACGATCCAAGAAATTTGTACTAATTATGATCCAGGGAGGGGAAAAGACCTACATTAAAACGTTATGAAATTTAAATAAATCTGTCTTTTTAGAATGACGATGATCTGATGGAAAAATCAGATCAAAATCACATCGTCTTGAACATGCTCAGCCCCGAGCGCAACGAGCCGCGGTTACGGAATATTGATGGAAACAGCAATGGGACCAGGTATGCTATTATTAAGGAAACCAGCTCTTTTTTAGCTCACGATACTACCCAGGTGCGGATCGGCTGAAGCGGAAGCGGTCCAAAGCCAGTCTGGCCAGGATAAGGGCGCAGGTAGCGCGCATGCATCACGCTGTGAGTTTGGGCCCTGCTCGAAGACCTCTAGGGGCACAGATCTATCCTCGTTTTTGACAAGGCCTAGCACGGAGAATCTTTGTTTAATTTTTATGGACGCCATTGCATAAAAAAAGCCTATTACACCGATTTTAGATCAAAAAAGATTTATTCAAAAACACACCTACTCAGTTTAAAGCCAGCCTACGCTTTGTCTTTAGTTGATTTTGGGTTTAGCGAGTTATTTTGCATTTTCAGATATTTTTCTACCCAAATTTCTAGACCGCTACGGTTTCCCGAAGAGCCCTGAATTGGACGAGGACTTTGAGGAATCTGCGGGGTAGACGAGTGGCCCAGAGGATCGACGAAAAATGCCGGATAGCATTTCCCATGGTTTTCCTGATTTTCAACATTGCTTATTGGAGCTATTACCTCGTCATTACGTAAACCCTGGTTGGGTATATTTTTTCAGTCTGTAACGGTTGGGCCCGTCCCAGCATCACCAAAGTTTGTATGGAAATTAAGGGGATTGAAACTATCATGTTATCGAATCCCACACCCCTTGACTGGTTCTCAGCCTAATCATTACAAATCCTAGCTTTACGTGTCTATTTCCCCCCACAAACCCGTTGTGCATTTCTTTGAAAGTGTAAGCCGTTTTTCCCGGTGCTCCCCTAGCTTCTGACACATATTCATTTTGGATCCATTTTTTGCCCCCCCACCCCCAATTCACACAGTCATACCGGTATTTGCCAAACTGTCCTGGCGTTTTCCTTTTTGTAGATAAATTTTAGATATTATGTAGTTTAGAAAATACACAAAAAGTATACTAAATGTTTTTATTTCAGAACTTCCAAGGAACTTTGAACTAACAATGGACGACCAGTTTTCAGGGTTGGGCCGGAAGGAATTTGGGGACGACAAACGAATGAGCAAATACGAGTGGTAGTTGGGGGCCAATGGAATATATTCGTTGGTGTCGATATCTCAGAATTCGGCGGGTAGGGGATGGGCAAGGATTTCATGTTACTATATCACAAAGAAGGTGGGTCCGAAAAGACTACAATGTACAATTTACAAGATATTGCTAACTAACTATTAGTTGGCAAGGGATTTGAAGAAACTTTGTTGCGTATTATCAAAATCGGGGAAGGCACCGAGGTTGCGGAGATTCTGCTTTAACCAGGGGTCACGTTGAGGTGGGCGCGTTTATTTAATTTGAGCTTCCGATTCCACTTTCATCCGTGTCGCTTGTACTGCGTTTAAGCATCTTTTCGACTCGTGAAGCGCAACCGTTGATTTCCTAGAAATTGTTGATTTAGGGTTTAGGAGACTGGGCTTACTCGAATAAGGGAAGAGTGAGAGCGAAGCATTTGGCGCAGTCCTTCTTCATCAGTGACTACGGTAGATGAACGGCAAGAAGACATTGGGCTGTCATCAGATTCATTCCGGTAGCTGACTGGAGTTGATGGCATACCGTCAGGCATCGTTTTGTAAGATATCTCTTCTTGAGAAGCTGTCAACCTGAAAATGAGTTTCATAGATCGTTACTATTATTTTTGAATTAAAACAAAGATTGTGATTGCACTCACTTTAATCTTTGAATCGTGTTAGAAGGGCTGGAGCTCGAAGAACCGCCGATCAACTGCTGAGCAAGGAGGATGACGCCGGATCCTAGATGGTTCGACGTCTCCTTTTGCTGTGTCTCCCATTCCTTCTCCTCTTGCAACATCGTAAACACTGAGTTCACCACCTCATCCTGCAATAACCGTGGTTAATTTTTTCAGGGCATCGAAAATGACCCATCCATGTGTGGTCCCGGGGCGGGCTCTTTCGCAAATCAGAGCCAACTGTGCAAATATGAAACTAGCGCAAATAAAATTCATATAATCTGACGGCCGTCGGGTCAGCGCTGCGCAAATTTTGATTGCAAAATTTCTGAGGGTTGATGCGTGAAACATTGCTAATCGGAGGTCAAATGTTGAGATTTGGAGACAGACAATTTTTGAAGAGCCCGAAAATCACCTGTTCAGCTGTAGGAATCGTATAACGATCTTCGCCAGTTTCCTCATAAGGTGGTGGAGCAGTAGGTTGATAAGGAGGAGGTCCAGCTGGGGGATCAGCAGCGGCCAATGCAGCGGTTGATAGACTTCTCGCACTTCCGATGCTCCGCTGTTCGTGGATTGTATCCGAGATCTTTTCCAGATTGTGCATCGACTTTGTATAGTCTTGCTTCTTTTGGCGGACCTCGGCCTCAAGGCGCAGGATGTAGGCCTTTTGCTGTTCGAGGATTCGGGTGAATTCGATGCCTTGTTCGAAGTATTGGCGCGATTTTTTGATGGCAGATCTTAAAGAAATGCGTTGTAGTATTATAAAAATTACTCATACCTATGGTCCTTCTCCATGCGTACGATCTGTTGATTCAAAGCCATCATTTCTTCAGAGATCGATCGGTGCTGTTCTTCTGCAGCTTTTCGTTCGGCTTCTGCCTCATTGACCCGTTGAATGTGATGGTTAAGCACCTAAAAATTTTATATATAATGTTGAAGAAGGTATGTTACCTCTAAGCATTCAGGATGGACGCTCATGGTTTGACGGGCGAGACTGTCTTGGCACAGATTGACTTGTTCTTTGGCGACCGAAAGGAGTCCAGTGGCCTTTTCGAAGCGAATTGCTGCCCGCATGGATTCTTTGCGTAGATCATTTTCCTGGAACGAACAGATTATTATATTTCGATATATATATCCCCCCTCCCTCTATGAGCTCCACATAACCGAATTTTTGCTTTTACTCAATGATAACCTTCCTCGCTCTCTCAACTTTTCCAATCATAAACAACCAACTTCAAGGCCATCTACGCGTAACCCAGAAAAACAGCTACTGTCTTTGCTGGGCATTTGGTCACGCATCTAGCCCTCCGCCTTCAGTTTTCATCCCCTTATCACATTCCCGTCATGTGACGCGAACACCATTCCGGTGGGCCCCGGCACAAACTTTGGAGTTTGCCAACCCCCGGGCTGAACGTCTGACAATTAGCCCCGGCACACCCCCGCCACGCCAACAACGTCACAAATCCACAAATGCCTTTTGCGGGGCGACTTGGCGTGGCTGCGTGCACTCGTCGGTCCGCCCGACCACCAAAACAAACAATCAGCATTTCCATCTTGGAAGAACCGTCCCCCGTCCCCCGTCCCGCGGCACTACGAGCACACGCACGGCTTGCAGCTAAGACAGACGGACATTGGATTGGCAGGCAGCCCAGGGGGGCGCAAGGTGTCCGACAATGGACGTGACGTCGCAGGTCTCCGACGTAGGTCTGTCGCTCGCCTTGAGACAATAGAGACAAAAGGAGTGCGTGGAGATGCACCGGGGGTCTTCGGGGGTAGGGTTAAGGGGAACAATGCTTAGATTTTCGTGAAATTGACAAGGCTTCTGCTATTCAAAAAGCTGGTTGGTCTACTAGCTTTGCAAGTTTCTGGAAAAACATTGTTTGGGCCGACGGGTCAGGCAAAAATACGCCCAACTTATTTTTACTCAGCGACACAAATGGTGCCTTTTCGCGCCAAAAGCGTAGCCTAAAGGCATGTTTTCATTAGTGCGCTGATCTGCTGAAAAGGTTTTTTGACGCCCACAACCCGCGAAGACCTCTGGACCGCACGATGTAATTTCTCAGCGCTTCAATGCCCAACAACTTTAGTCGTTCACCCACTTCCGGACCCTCAATACAAACCGAACAACTCCCCCCCTATTGCACGACTATACTATGTCCATATGACCACCCCCGCCTCCGGAATTCCAGCTATTTGACGTTCTCTCATGCAGTGTCAACAGCGTACCTCCACCCAAAACCCCGTCCTACACCCCCCCGCACCCCATCGGCTTCTCCACTTTCAACCGCACCCCCGACTTGAATTTCCCGTTTTAGCACCTCCGTCCTGACGTGACCCAGCGCAAAAAGAAAACTATAGTCGGCCCGGTAGATACACTTTTACGAACCTGTTTTTTCATCTCATAGAATGGCCTGGCTTTGGCGATGGCGGACCCGTATTTCTTGGACAGCTCCTTCAGCTTCTCCGACCATGTGGTCTGGATCTCCCTGAAACAAGAGTAAATCAGATTCAGGGTTTGCGATACCTGAAGGACGCTCTGGCGGCATCTAGTTGTACTTCTAGCTTATTGATGACATCGGTGGCAATGTTCAGCTTTTCTAGCTCTTCATGGACGAGATTCAGATGACGCTGGTCCAGTGGCGGGCCCTCGTCATCTTCTTCTGAGTATCCGAGGCAAGATTCTTCACACGAGTCGGAGCCTGGAATTCTGGGTTTATTTGGGGTACAAATTTCGTTTTGATTTCAGAGTCTTGTGTAGAATTCTTTATGCGGCTGTTGTTTTGGGATGCAAACGAGTCGACGCGGGGAGGGGAGGCTTTCACTCTTATGTCGGCCGGTCGGCGTGAAAATGTATGCAAAGAGTGCTCAGCGGCGGTTGGCCAGAAGGGGTTTTCGAGTGAGCACGAATGGGTGGTGGTTGGGGTAATACGTAGGTATTGATGCAACGCGGTACAATGTACAAAAAGTGATGCTACTGAGAGATAGCTATAGGCTTTACGACCAAAAGCAAAAACTAACCGCTAATCGAAAAAGCTTTGGACGTTGATGGTTCGGCAGGGATAATGGGGGGTAGCACCTCGTTTACTTGTAGCGGATTCATTGTAGCATTTGTACTCTGAAAAGTTTGAATATGAAGGACACCAAACCAAAACACGCAACCCGGAAAACAAAATACACATGGAAAAAAATTGGTGGTAGGCGGACCGGGGTGGATAATCGGCTTTTAGGGAGGATCAGTGGGGGCGGGCTGGCTACGGGGGATCATAAAGAGAATTGGGAAATATCGGTGGGTGCGCAGAGTGTTATGGCTGTCCCAATTGGCTCATAAGATGGAGGGGCTTTGCGCTTTTTAAGCGATTGGACAGCCTCGAGATCGGCTAAGCCGTATTATAAAGGAAAAACGGCAAAAAATATATTAGAAATAATGGAGAATGTCAATTCAAAGTCCTAAAAAAATACTACTGCGGTAGATCGACCAATTCGTCATGATAAACGCGACAACCGAGCCGACGGCCAGATGGGGGCCAATTGTATAAACACACCGGCCACTCGTTTCCGGCCCCGGAAAATATAAAGTCCAGATTGAGGGTAAAGCGACCGGACTGCGCCTTAAATAACAAAAAGTCAGCTGAGTTGAAAAGACGAACACTTCAACAAAAATCGATCGTCTCCGTGTGGCGAATGGGAGGAATTATGGGCCGACCGGACCGACCGGGGGGAATTCCATCCCTTTTTCGGGGAGATGGGAGGAGAACGGACTACTTGAACCGACCGGGCTGATAGGGGGGAATGGCGACAAACCCGGACTCCGGGCCAATAGTTTTTGACCGCAATGGGCGAAGGAAGCCCTTCGCGCTCTTCCATTGGGTCGAGGTAGAAAGGGCAATATTTAGCGAATCAGAGTGACGAATCGACGGGTTTGAAAACATTGGGTTACGAGAGACATGTGATGACAACAAGGGGGGGGGGGGAGGTTCGCCAATAAACAATCCCCCTCGATGCTTTTCATCAGAGACTATAGAGGCGTTCGATACATTTCAGCTAAATCATAATAGCTCTGAAATAAGGGGCGTGAGTTGTTGGCCGGGGAAAAAATTTGTTATTAGCCATCCGGTGACCTCGACCGGAAGTGGGGAGGCGCTTGATAACAGGGGTGTAGCTACGTATCCAATATTTTAGCTGAATCGCTTGAGTTTAATACTTTGATCGTTCTGGGTAGGAAATGAGCAAACCTAAGATGAATTTTATATTGCCAGAAAACTGACAACTGGCTGTAACGAAGAGGAAAAGAGGGAAGGAAAGCCTGGGGGCCCAATTTATAGCGCTCGAAAATCTGACAGGCGATGGGTGACTCAATCACGGGACTCTGGTCCAACTGAGAAGCGCCTAGACAAAAAAGCAGTTGCTGCGTTTCGCAGTGGGGCCAAGGGGTAGAGTCCAGGGCCAACATGAAACAGCCAAGGGCGAGGGCAGAGTAAACCTCATGTATTGGATGAGTCATCGAAGCAAATCTGGGAGGTTGATCGATATGTTGGACGGGCCAATTGTTCCAAGAGGAGGTGCGGGTGGGGGGGTGGTGCGCGGATGGGGGAGGAGGATGGAGGACGGGGCAAATAGGAACCCGTCGAGGTCAACCTGCCAACAAGCAATTATAGGCGGAACCAGTCCTCCTGGGGGGAGGGAGGGACCCCCTTCGATCCTAGACCATCATTCCTGTGGCAGCCGGTTGAATGACATATGTTTAGATAGATTTCAACACAGTGCGCGAGGGCACGTTTTTGTTGACGCATACAAGTGGTGATTTGCGTGCGAAAATGGGGAAATTGCTGCGGGATACATAAATAACAGGCGAGAGGTGAGACATGATCTACTAGAAGCAAAACCAAGTTATCAAGTATGTCGAATTTTTATAAATTCTGCTATACATTAAAAATTTTTGTCGCTATTCGATATCAAAAACGCAGAGCGGAAGGGCAGCCTTTATACGTCATTTGGTCCGTACTGGACTCAAGATAACTGCGGCGATATCAGATTTTGAAAAATCCGCTTTTTCGGCCATAACAGGTTTTTTAAAATCTAACCAAATCTAAACCCTATTAGTTCGAAAACAATTAGAATATACGGAAAAATATGTAAAAAGGCAGAGCGTATTTTTCGTCATCGGGATCCCGGCTCAAATATGCAAATTAAAGACTGTCACGAATTGAAAAGGTTTGGTTGAAAACCTGCGAAACAGTCATTACAACCAGGCTAAAATTAAAAAGGACATCCGCCAAAACCAAGTGTAACCCCAGTGATCATAGCAACGATGCAACAACACCTTGCGACCACGGCGGGCGTAGGATCGATGAAAAGCCCCGGCGAAGGTGGGGGTTGAGGGAACCAGATTCTCCGTGGGCTATGCCCGGCCGTTGACAATTGTGGCTTTCGGGAGGCGGAGAAGGCCGATTGTGCGAGCAGCCATAAATTGTGCCCCGAAGCCACCCTCCATTCACCCCACCACCGCCATTCGCACTCGCCGTGGGGAAATTTTGGTGCCATAGTCGCTGTGGCAGACGAGTTTTCTTTGTGGTATGGAAATAGGAGCGCTAGAGGAAAATCTCTGTTTTTTGGAAAGTCATGTAGTCATCAAAAGGATCAGATGGAGGAGCTAATTCTTAAAAATTATGATACTAGGTTTGTAAAAAATCTTAGTTGCTTATAATAGATACATAATTATCCAAAAACCAAAAGTCTCTTGTGAGGTTCTCCTGCCTCCTAGCACCCCCTACAACAAAGCACTAACCACAAAAGTGAAAATGACGCGCATACCCCACGGCACTTCCCCACCGCCAGCCAGATCGGATGAGATGACTGGTTTCCATGGCCGCTGCCTGGATAAGTCGTTAATATTCTACGAGAAGCAGCCAATGGCCCGAATCCCAAGGGTAGCCCAGAGCCAAAGATGGATGCGCCGGATTTCGGCGCCGAAAAACCTAACAAAAACGGATTGAATGGGGGGGGGCCAAGGAGGGTGAAAGAGATGGGGGGAGGCGGGTGTTTTTCCGGGTTTATCGAAAGAGCATAGAGATGGGAAAACGAAGGGAGGAGACGGGGGGGGGGGGGGGGAAGATGTACTGAAAGGGCACGCCATTCTCGCCCACACGTCAGGTGGAAAAGATGATGGGGCTTATTATGGATTTTAAGGAGTAGCAGGTGGAAATGATATCAGAAAATGGGATGGGAAGCTGAAGGAAACAAAGTTGTTCGAGACAAGGAACACAAAGAGGAGCACCTGACGCGGTAAAAAAAAGTAGGTCGGGTTGAAACGGGGCTCACACGGGCTGCTTGTGGGTTCTGTGACCGGGTTGACGGGAATCTATTTCTTGTTCAGAGGGACTGAAGTGACACACGTGACGCATGCACGGACTGGCTGGGGTCTGGGGTGGGAGGGTAGATAGAGAGAGCATTGGGGAAGAGAAAAGGGTGGGAGAGAGGGAGAGAGAGAGAGGGAAGATGGGTAGGGATTGAGGGAGTGAGGGATGGAAATGAACTACTGAGAATGGGACAACCACCACCATTGCCACTCCCCCTTGGTCCCTCCGGTTGGACCCACTGATTGGAACCGGAGATGCCCTGCATATGAGGTGAAACAACTTTAAAGTGGAGTAAGGAAACAGAGGAAAAGGCTCGCAGAAACCTGGCAATAAAAAGCATCGAACCCATGGCGCTAAAGAATGACTAGAGTCAACTAATCCTATAGAGAAAACGAACTGGTAGCTCGACAAGACTATTTTACTTTTCCTCGAAAATTATAAACGACAGACAATCTTCAAAAGCTAGCCAAACTCCCAGCCACAACCAAAATCTCCTCGTAAAAATCTTTTCCTTCTTGCTCTACCTGGCCTCACCTGCAGCTCCCCGAAGAAAAATTGCTCACTTCACCAACGCGAGCCATTAATCCCAAGCCTTTCTCCCTCCCCTTTCCCCCCATTCGTCCACAGGGTTCACCGCGAAAACCTAATTGCCGTCTGAAATTGGGTCTGCCGGAAAACACGGGGAACGCTCAAGAAACCGGCGCCACATCACTTGACGGAAGAAAAATACCCGGAATTAAAATGGAAATGTGGGATCGAACGGAACGGGTCGTAGGTGCCGTATACGCGGTTCGTCTAGAGAGAGATAGCTTTGCATGACCTCGTCTTAAATTTTGGGTTTTACTCGGGGGGAAATGAACCCAATTTTTCTATGGTAATGAGGTAAAAGAGAATACATATTGATGGGCAAACCGAAAGCCGGAAGGCCATTAGAATGCGCTGCAAAAGAGCGCCATCCATCAAGGTCTTTATAAGATTTGATCAAATGCCGAAAGGTGAAAAGAATGGGTTCTAATTGGGCCCCGAGCCCTGCTCGTCCCGGCCAGCAATTCAACTATTATTCATGTGAATTCGAACCAACCCCGCGTGGGTCGCCCAATGACATCTATATTTAGGGCCACCACGACAACAATCCTAATATACGATTTTTTTGGCCTACGAATAGTACACGCCGGGGCAAAAGCTGTGGAGGGCACAACAACAACACAGCTCCCGCGAGTCATTGGGTGCCCTTTCAACAAACAAATACGCAAACATAGAGAGTTTGGAAATGCGTGGGAATGGTTTCTAAAAGACCAGCTGGATGGTTACGGAACGGCGAATAGGTGAATCACAGGCAAACCGTTTTCTATAGGTTTCGGAGTTTTTTTTAGGGAAGCGACATTTAGGAAAGCATGCGAGGAAGAAAAAACACCGATAGAGGCTTGGGATTGATCTCAAAGTGTAAAAATAAATGATAGCGTAGCTAAAAATCCGTTTGAAGTCAGGTTTTGAATAGTTTACCCGATAACAACCGTATTACGAGCGTTGATAAGATTATGCGAAACGTGAATAGAGATGCACAAGACAGTAAATTTTTTTTCATCTGGATCAATCACGAAACAAATCAGCACCAACTTAACAATAAACAGTTTTCACCTCAACATTAACAAACGTCATAACCCCAAAATTCCCATATCAAAAGCGAAAGTATCCAACGTCCCCTACCGATTACCCCAGAACGTATACACAAGAACGCAAGAAC